GTAGTTTTTCTGACGACACGCAAAAATCGATCTAACGATTCATCGTTTAATTTACTTTGCACAGGTAGTACATTTTTCTGTACGTCAGTTACGGAAGAAACAGCAGTCTCCAATATATAGTATCCTACATCATCATCTATGAATTTTTCTTCTTGGTCGGAATGACTGACAATGACACACTCGCTATTTACTGCTTCAACGGTTATATTTGATGCTTCAACACTGTTCTGTATCATGTTTTCATATGTACGCTTTTTTGCGATTTTTCTACTAGATTTTTGAATTGATGCGTCTTCTTTTGCCCGTAGTATGTATTCTGGATTTCTAATAAGCATGTGTCTATTGTGGCGGCTGTCCAATATTTCCGGAAGCATGCATTCTTCGTAGAAACGCGTTAGGAAAGGTTCCATATGATTCGTCCAAAATGCGTCGTCCCTCTTTACGTGGATCATATTGTTGCGACGGTGAGAAGTTTCCGCTCTTTCGATGCATCGACTGCTTCTTGATGTATCGAACGAGCCATCGACTGCCCCGTCCGAAGCTCTCAACGAATCACGATGTGAAGCTATTCCAAGTTTCGAGCGGAAACACGTCATCGGATGCTTGAGGTCTCTTAGACAACCGCGCGGCTTTTGATAATCAGAATGTTTCGGGAACCCGACCTGTACGGATCTATTGCTTAAGAACTCCTTTGTAATCGAAATATAGACAGTCTAGTTTGCTTCATCTCTATTTATTTTACGATGGAAAGTGCAAGCTCCACTCCCCGGCGCAACAATATGTATGCTTTGAGGTGTCCAGATAGCGAAAATACAGTACTTCCGCTGCGTTATATGCAACTGACCTTGTACTTGGTAGAAATACTGGTGCTTCCTATTCATTTCTTGTATATCTCTCTTATCGAAGATGTTTCGTAAGTGACGTATTGTTTCTATTGCGTCTGTCGCTGTCAAATTCTCAGCAGATTGCGGGCATTTCAGTTCCAGTAAACCGTCATCGTCGATAAGTCCATCAGGAGATGCACCCAAGTATGGAATGTCGCGATCAATGAACAATCCACAAGTTCGAATTCTTGTTTTCATTGCGTTCGCCACATCTTTTCTTGCTATGTGTTCTTTATCGCGGCCGTATTTCATAGCAGCGGTATCGACAGATGGAGGATATAAAATGTTTTTTACCATTGCTGCGCAGGACGTTGTTTGTCTCATGCGACATACTGCTCCAAAATTCGAGGCAGTTAGCATTTCCTCCTTTAAAGCTCTCCATAAATCTGAATCGTCTTGCTCTCTTGTGTTCGTTTCTATTAGTGTACGATATTTTGCATTGTCAGCAAGCTTTTGAAAATATTCCTTGCGAAGTTGAAGCAGCATATCACTCGGAAGATCTGGTCTTTGCGAGTTTGGACCATATTTATCCGTTCCTTGCACTGGCTTTAATTTCCTTGTCTTACTATAGGTCATTCGAAATTGTTTCGTTTTCGCAACTTTTTTTTGTCGCCGTTCCTCTAATCTCTTTACTAGTGGCGGAACGGTTTTACACATGTTCTTATGCATTTCTGTAAGTACTTGTTGCGTATTGTATTGCGTAACAGCTCCTGCAACTCTAGCATTGTAGGAACCTCTTGCACCAAAATTAATACGTTTTCCACCAACCTCTTTGCAGATAATTGAATTAAAAGTTTCTGCGGGATTGTTTGTAACATTCATTAACAAGCTATCCGAATAGCAGCTGAGGAATCGTATGGCTTTCTCGACTTCGCTATACAGACCGAACAATTTCAAAGATGGAACGTAATTTTTCTCAGCTCTGTTTTCGTCCGGCATACACGTATGGGTGCGGCTATTGCACTCCTTATGCTCACCAAATATATGGCTCGGAATACTTAAAATGTCCTTCTGAAGTTCTCTAGCTTTGATATGCTGAGGCCCTTTTTCTTGTTTTCGCGCATTGACTGCTAAAACAACAGCTTTCGGTATGCAACGTAGCCACGAGCTCTGTGACCCTTCGTTTGCGTTTTCTCCGCAACGTGTCTCAACTTCTTACATAAATTACGAAGTAAGTGATTGGTACACTCTACTTTTCTAACAGTTACTTTTTGTTCTCGGTAAGGTCTGTTACTCACAATAGTATGATAGACGTTGCTATCACCATCGGCAACAACCGTTCTATATATCAAGCCATGCATTTGAATGATGTAATTGAAACCTTCAGCAATAGCATCACTTTCCATGCTACTAGAACTGGCATAACGATCATAATTTTTATAACATTTATGATGTTTTGGGGATTTAGCTTTTCGTTCCGCTATATCACATATTGTGCAGTATTTATTTCGTATGCCGATAAACAGAACTTTTCCTGTGCGGAAACCTAGAATGGCACCAACACCGGAAAGTGAATCATAATTCGTACCATACGATCTCTTCATCCAGCTACCATCCGCTATGGCAGTTATGTACGGGATACCGTTTCAGAAGCTAATCGTCTTTCTTCTTCACCTGCTGCCTGCATGGTATGCATTGCGCTTTTCATAAACTCATCGACAAGTTTTTCACGGTACCTGCGGTACGTCGTTTCAGCTATGCAGGGCATGTTCAGGGCGGCGCATAATTCTTCTAATTGTGCATAGCCGATTCCGACTGTAACAGTCGCGGTCGTCATGGCCTCATTTACATTCGTTATATCTGAATGCATAGGTTCCGACCAAACAGTATCTTCGTAATTGCACATTTGGCACTTGAAGAAAAACTGTGTCAGACACCCATGCTGGCGACTACCGATCATTTTCCAATCGCGGAAATGACATTCAATACCTCGCGCATGGTTGTCGAACATTCTATGTATTTCATTCCAGAAGAAGTGAACGTCAACAATGCGGCGGCCTTCTGGCACATTTTCCGAAATACGTCCCACATCAAAGTGTCCGACGCCTACGACGAAATTGTCGTCGCTATTGTCCAGGACGTTTTGTACAGTGAGTCTCTCACTTGTACATTCACATTGTACAACGACAGTTTCATCGTTTTTGCGAAGGGCGTTGTCTGATAAGATGCGCCCCACATCGTTATTTTCGCGAAGGGCGTTTTCTGATAAGATGCGCCCCACATCTTTTACATTATTTGGGAAAAATGAAGGATTCTTATCAGACATATCTATCTGACTATCGTCCTTTATAGTTTTCCCAAAAGATTTTAATGGTACATTATATTTTTCTTCGAAAACTACAGCAGCGTCAATCTTCATTGTCGACGATTGCCGTTGTTTCTGTCGCCTGCAAGGTAGAACGCATAAAATTATAAATATTTATAGGATAATTCATACAAATTACTGAAATGTATAAATCTGAAACACGTACAGTTTTCTGTAACCACTTTTCAGGGAGAGTTTTCTCCCTACACGCAATCCTTTACGACTACTACCTTTTTGATTTCCCATTTGTGTTTATTTTTTTCACAAATGCTTGGAAATTTTCTCAATAATATGTCTTCTACGTTACCGTGAAGACGTCTTATTGTTAGAAACACTTAGATGACAACGCGCTTCGTAGATGTGAAACAAAAATGAAACGCCAACGCTGTCGCGTTTTCTAATTTCACTGGCATCGACAGTTCAACGAATGCTACGAACGAGAGAGGAAGGTAGTGCAATCGAAGATGGAGAAAACCGACAGTAAGTGTTTCTTTTTATCTTTACTTCGCGGGTGTCATTGATGTCTTTCGTACATTAAAATGAGTTATGTGCATTCTTAAAATTTCATCGAGATCGGTCAATGCATTTAGAAGTTATAAGTAAATTTCAGATAATCGCCTAAGAACAGAAGTAGTTACGTTCTTGGATGAAAAGCCACGATTTTCAGAAATTAATTACTTGTAACTTCTCAGTGTATTGACCGATCTCGATGAAATGTTCAGTATACACATAACATATTTTTTACAAATGTTATATCAGTAGAACAGCAAAAATACCTTGATAAAATTTTTTAATTTCAAATAAGAAACTGGAAAGCGATCATTTTGACCCCTTTGGTAGTTCTAATGTCAAATTTTCATCACAGGCTGAAATAAAAAATTTTAAAATTGCCTTTTTTAGATGCGTCTCCCCGAGACAATGAAACAGACCACTATCCCAACGGTTTCTGCAACAATTGTTGCAATAATTGTTGGAATAATCGTATATTATATTGTCTCGCGGACTATACACATTTACTATTTTATTCCAGATTTAGAATAATTGTAATTTTATATCTTAGTAAAGTATAGCTCATCGTCAAAGCTCGACAAAATTTGCACTATTCAGCCGATTTTCAGTTGTTTCCGCCTACCGCTATTCCCCTTGTCGCGACGTTCAGCGCGCAGCCAACGAACCGTTAAGCCGAGTATCCACCTGTATCCAACGCCCGTATCGTATCACCGTTCCGAACCCTTTTGAATAGGCAGGCGTTGCCCCGTTGCATGCAACGGCATGCTGTGGCTCGGACAACATTTCTTCGTTTCTTGATAGAAACGGTTAGGCAATAGGACTGGGCCACTACAGGCGAGGAGTTTCGTTTCGCTGTGTGCCGTTCCAAAGGAACGGAGGCAACGGACCCATCCGAAAAATTTCTTGGTTCTTTGCCGTTCCATCGAAGGAAAGGTTCATGCGTTTACACTTGACATAGCGTTTCGTGCCGTTACTTGGGTTTCAATTTATTTGAAATCTTGCGGTATTATTGGATTCATTTCAAAATCGATGAAATTATTTATGAACTTAATCTAATTTAATTTAGACAAATTTTATCGTTTAAATGTATTGAAACAGATCAATTATCTTCGGCGATACGCTGTTCATAAAACAGCAATGTTAATAATCAGCTGTGTCATTATTGAAAAAGGACAATGTTAATTTTGTAGAGATTTTTCCGTTGCCGAGTATCCGAAGTTCTATTGGGCTGTGATACGGAGGTGAAGGAACGGGCCGATCCGAAAATTGTCGGTTTTTTGCCGTTCAAAGGATATGTTCGGAGACCACTTGAAACGTAAAAGCAACATACCCAGGCGAAGGCCCGAAATGCTATGTCAAGTGTAAACATGACTCTTGAGGCACGAGATCTGGAATCTGGAATCGGATATATCAGTGAGATAATACTAATGCAACGACTGAACTTTGTTATTTTTCATTTTTTTCTTATAAAACTGTTACCAAGATATTTGTGACGTTTTTCTGATTAAAATGATACCAAATACGATATGGTTTGGACAATTCTTATTTATAATAGTATTTCCTACAGTGTGATTCTCTTGCTACGCAAGACAAAAGCCGTGCCGCATAATGGAACCCCTGCTGTTTGGAAAATTGGAAATGATTTTTATTACATCTGAAAGTTAAAGGAGTAAATTTAGGAATCGGTTTATAACTTAGAAACATAAAATAGGGAAAAAATATGTTATTATGACAGGGTTTCGAGTTTACTTAATCCGTTTATTACTCGAAGAGGTCATCGTTTATTACCCTTGTTGCTTTCATTGGACTGGTACTACCTGTGTACCATGCAAATTCGGTACCTCCACGCGGACTAGGAGGTACCTTCGCGTTTGCAAAACGCAACCAATCAGAAAAATTACAAATTTACCCCCGACGACGAATTTCAACCAATACAGGAAGTGGAAGTTTCTACACCGAAACCCCCACCACGATTAGGAAGTTATATATTTCTCATCAATACGGAGAAAGATTAGTTGCCGTTTACACTGCAGTCACCATGGATTTTAGTAAGGCAGAAATTCTCACCTTAATTGAAGTGTACCGATCCAAGAGTGTGTTGTGGGACCCCAAAAACTGCGATTATTTTAATAAATTAAAAAAAGAAGATGCGTGGGAGGAATTAAGCGCAGAAATAGAAAAACCTAAAGCAATATGTAAAAAAAAAATAGAATACCTCCTCGCAGGTTTGAGGAGGGAAAAGTTGAAAATGAAAAGAAGTGTTGGCACCGGAAAGGGTAAGTACTTTTTATCACACATTCATGAATTGAAAGTTAGAAATATTTGGTACTTTATACAGTATTACACATCAGAAAACAGTGCGGCTCCATTTAACTTTCTATCGTTATTTTGTTTGTAGGAACACAAGAAGTATATAAAAGCCAATGGTTTGCATTCGAAAGTATGCAATTCCTATGGGATAAAAATAAATCTAGGAGGACATTAAGTACGGTACGCAAACCTTCAATTATTTTTTCATTTTTTCCACAATTCATAAAAGCATACTTTATTAGCAACAAATTAGAAACAATACTTGTTTTCAGATGGAAGATGAAGTACAAATCGTAAGTCCAGAGGCGGTAGAAGATGAGGTGACAGAGCAGTCATATATGGGGCAGAATGTAGAGATGCTTGGGGGAAGTTGTACAGTATTAATTTTATTTCTGTAAGTCATAAACCGATTCCCAAAATTCCTCTTTTAACTTGCAGATGTAATAAAAGTTGTACAGTACTAATTGTAAGCGACGGACTCCTATAGTAAAGAAACAGCATGCAGCAAATCGAAACTTCTCGCCTATAGGAGTTTCTTTCAAGAAACGAAGAACTATTGTCCGAGCCGTAGCCTGCCGTGGCATGGAACGAGGCAACGCCTGCCTATTCAAAAGGTTCGGAACGGTGATACGATACGGGCGTTGGATACAGGTGGATACTCGGCTTTAGAGGCTCAGGAGCGTATCACTCGTAAACGTATGCTGGCAATAGCTTTCCACCCCACCTACGAGGTACTATTATCGATGCGTTTTTTGCCAGCATACGTTTACGAGTGATACGCTCCTGAGCCTCAAGCGGTTCGCAGGCTGCGTGATGAACGTCGCGGCAAGGGGAAAAGCGGTAAGCGGAGACAGCTGAAAATCGGCTGAAAAGTGGAAATTTTGTCGAGCTCTGGTATAGCTTATCGAGAAACCGAAACTCATTTGATTCAATTTCAGGTACATATTACCCATGTTTTTCAATTTGTTTTCAGATGGTGAAGATAAAAAACCGGAAGAAGCGGAGCCGCTGTTGCAGCTGCAACAGCAAGTGCAGCAGCTGCTACAGCAGCAATCGTTGCAGATGCAACAGAATAAGACGGAACTTGCTACCTTGCGGCAGCAAATACAGGAACTAAAGGGCGAACGGCAACATGCTGGGCTTATCGTAAGTCATTTTTTTGCGTTCATGTACATACGTTATTTCTGCTATTGTTTATACATAATATCATAATATTTATTTTTGCAGCCGCAGCCACAGCACCAGCCGCTGCACCAGCCGCTGCACCAGCCGTTGCACCAGCCGCCGCACCAGCCGCCGCACTAACCGCCGCCGCAGCCGCACCACCAGCCGCCGTATCTGGCCTATCCGGCGTATCAGTCCCCAGTAGCCGGGCTCTACGCGCCGGAACAGCCAACCGTAAGTCATTTTTTTACGTTATTTCTGCTATTCATTGTTTATGAATAATAACATTATATTTATTTTTCCAGGCATACAGGTCAGAACAGCGGCTGTTCCGGCAACGCCGCAGAGAGGCCAGGCGGCTGTGGCGGCAAGCAACGTGCCGTCACGGTTGCGGCCGCGGCCGCGGCCGCAGTCACTGTCCCTACAGCGGCCCGTGCGGACGCACGCAGAACTGCGGCGCGGGCCGCCGTAGCTGTACTTGCTGCTGCGGGCGGCACACTTGAAGTGAGTACGACGATAATATCTGTATATGTAATAATGACAAAGATAATATAAAAATATGACCTGTTTGATTTCAGGAAAAAATTATAAAATAACATTTTATTTTATTATTATTATTATTATTATTAGTATAAGTTAAAATTTTTATACATTTAAATATTCTTGTTTCATTTTATTTTATTATTATTATTATTATTATTATTATTGGTATTAATTTTTATAATAAATATTTTCATTGTCTACTTACATTCTTGTCATTTATTCCCCTATTACTTATCCTGTGTACTAACGATGTACATACAGGTACATTGGCGATTTCATTGAAAAGGATAAACTAACCTTAGGCATTCGATTGGTAGGAATTCGGAGTACAATATCAGGACATATTATAAAACAAATAACTTTAGACATTCGTTTTGTAGGAATATTCTTCCCCTGGTTATGTTATATTACAATAAATGTATATATAATATTTGGCTGAAGCAGTTTGATCATTCATACATTTCCTAGGTGATATATGCAGTATCGTATTTTTATCCGACTTCGAAAAGGAGGAGGATACTCAATTCGATGGTTTTTTTTTTTTTTCATGTTCATCGATTACGCCGAGACGGATGGACCAATCGGAACGAAACCTTTTGCATCTGGTAGAGTATGTCTCCCGATTGGTCCCGTTAAAAAAACATTTTGCATTTTTTCATTCCGAACGCTTTTTATTGCAAAAAAGCGTACTATGTCATGTACGTGCGACGTACGTTCGCCGATTACTCAGAGGCGGATGGGCCAATCGGAACGAAACTTTTTGCGTCCTGTAGAGTGTAACTCCTCATTGGTCCAGTAAAAAAAATATTTTGCATTTTTTCATTCCTAATGACTATTTCTTCTAAATGTATGTTCGCCGATTACTCCAAGATGGATGGACCAATCGGAACGAAACATTTTGCATCTTGTAGAGTATGTCTTCCAATTGGTCCTGTTAAAAAAACATTTTGCATTTTTTCATTGTTAACGATTTTTTTCCAAAAATCGTAATGCTTGACTTATATTTTTCACCGATTACCGCGAGACGGATGGACCAATCGAATAAAAAATTTTGCATCTTGTAGAGTATATTTCCCGATTGGTCTCGCAAAAAAATGTTTGTATTTTTTCATTCCTAACGACTTATGTCGCAAAAAACGTAATACTTCATTTATGTCTTCTGGCGTTTATGCTGCAGGGAATGTATCGATTGTGATGAAAACTTTCACATTTAGTAGGAGGTATATCCGCGATGATCTCACTTGCAAAAATTTATTGAATTTGTTAATAACTACTATTATAGCAAAAAATCTACGCCTTCATGTTACTCTGCAAGGTATCGTTCGCGATGAAACCTTTCATATTTGGTAGGAATTACAGGGTGTCAGGCGACTACCTCGACAGCCGTAGAGGGATGATTGCTAAGGGGATTCTAAACAACTTTTTCCTTTGCCAAATTGTTGGTTAAGGCTTGGTTTACGAGTTAATAACAAAAAACACCGACCAATCCGAGCGCGGATAGAGCGCAGTCCCAGGGACTGCAGTTTCGGGTACGAAGACCGGGCCGGACGTTGGTCGCGAATGAACGCCTTGGCACCCCGTTGGCATAGCACAATAAAAAAAGCTGAACTGGTAGAACATTTTTAGTCGCTATTTAGAATGAATATGGAACCTAATCTCTTATTGCCTGTCATAATGGAAAAAAGGAAATTCTAAGGATTTTAAACAACAAATAAAAATGTTTGAAGTGGTATAATTAATAAACGTTTGAATTGAAGGCTACACTAATGGTGCAAAATTGAAAACAATTTAAATGAAACTTACCCATTCGTTTCTAAATTAACTTGCTACGCTGAAAGCAAATAATTCCCACTAGATCACTGTGTCGATTCTGGACATTCGATGAGCAAACACCTCGCCTATTATTCACACCTAAGTGCAATAAATGAGGGGAGTTCACTGGCCCGATCATGAAAATTGCTGTTCTACCGAACGTGTTTCCTCGATTCCCAGTGACAATTATCTGCTTTCAGCGTAGTAGGTTAATTTACGAACGAATGCGAAAGTTTCATTTATATTGTTTTCAAATTTTTCATCATTAACGTGGCTTCCAATTCAAACGTTTATTAATTATTCCATTTCAATCATTTTCATTTGTTGTTTAGAATGCTTAGAATTTCATTTTTTACATTATGATAGGCGACAAGAGATTAGGTTCCGTATTCATTTTAAACAACGACTAAAAATGTTCTACCCGTCCAATTTTTTTATTGTGCTATGCTAACGGGGTGCCGAGCCGTTCGTTTGCAACCTACGTCAGGCCCGGATTGGTCGGTGTTTTTTGTTAATAACTAGAAAAACAAGCCTTAACCAACATTTTGGAAAAGGAAAAAGTTGTTTAGAATCACCTTAGCAATCATCCCTCTTCGGCTGTAGAGGTAGTCGCGTGACACTCTGTATATCCGCGATGACCCCACTTGCAAAAATTTATGGAATTTGTTGTTTATTAACCATTTAAATTTGGTCAATATTTTTCAGGTTTATGGTTATTAGCTAAGTAACAGAAACCCAAAATCACCTTACACTATCCTAAAAATACTACAGGTTCCACTAAAAAGTGTGAAATAAAATAATTTTTAACAAAAAACAAATCCGATTTCGAAATGCACTAAAAAGTGTCAAATAATTTCTATTTCATTTATACCAATATTCCATAGCTATTAATAATATCTACTTAATCGTTAAATAGGATACCAAATACATTTCAAAGTTTTCGGAGGCGGCGCAAAATTAAAAATACCCGAACAAACGATGCTGCCATAACGATTTGATTGCGGTATGGCAAACTTGGTAATTAATAAGTCGTAAGAGAAAAATTATAGGTCCGGCTGAAAACATTTGTAATTGTAACGATTGTATGAGAAATTAGCAGCCCTCCTGATGTACATGCACTATACTGCAGTTCACAAGAGACCATACTTAACTCGCGCCGCTCACTAGGTCTAGAGAGATTTTTAATAACGTGTGTTATTCCCCTCTACAGCTTGCTTCTTATTATGCTTTGCGACCATATAAATGGCGGGCAGAAATATATGACATACGATAATTGATAACCGGTGATGATATTGTAAAGTTTCACGATACAATGAAGTTCCTATTATTTGTCGCAAGAAAAAAATGATGTGAACGCAAAGTAAGAAGCAAGCTGTAAAGGGGAATCACACGCACTATTAAAAATCTCCCTAGACCACAGTAGGTCACTAGCTGCGCGAGTTAAGTGCGGTCACTCGTGAACTGCAGTATAGTTAATTCGCAATGGGTTTGTTGATTCCCGTTGAATATTATTTACTTGAAATTATCAAATGGGTGATTTATCATAGGTTGCTGACGTTCGAGTTAGGATCTTCTTAGTAGAGGAAAAGTTTTTAATTTTGCGCCGCCTCTGAAAACTTTGAAATGTATTTGGTATCCTATTTAACGATTAAGTAGATATTATTAATAGCTATGGAATATTGGTATAAATGAAATAGAAATTATTTGACACATTTTAGTGCATTTCGAAGTCGGATTTGTTTTTTGTTAAAAATTATTTTATATACTTTGGCGGTGACATACATAATATAGCTATCGTAGCATCCGTGTGTCATTTAGGTGTGACGTAGCATAGCATGCCGTTAGTTGGATGTGATAACTGAGGTGGGAACTTGAAATCAGTTTCTGTTCGGCCTAATTTTCGATGAAACGTTGACTGTTTTACCAACGCGGAATTTGGAGTTCGGCCTCGACGCTCGCATCACCTTAAGGGCACAGACTCCTTGTGCCATGACCTGTATGCGTGCACTCACACAATCAACGGAAAGCATGCACGTATACGCCATGCGCGAGAGAGACACTCGATTTCGTAGATTCCATTTTTCGTCTCGATAATTGCATAAATGAAATTTTCGCGGGTACAGCACACA